CCGGTATAACTTGTCTTACAATTGTATTTAACAAGTAATTATTTCTGTAATGGATCGATAGTTCTAACCTCTGAAATTAATGTCCATTCAAAGGTTAGTTTTCCAATACTTTTATGTTATTTTTTATACCGTATATTCAAAAAGTCCTGCGTTGTTATTGGTTCCTGATCTCTCCCCGTATACAGCCTCTAATGGGTCTACGAGCTTCTAACTCTACAAATCTGGTTTCAAATCCCGCGATTGGCACACCACAGATGGTCCGTTTTTAGGATTGTGCTTAATAACAAACAAACGAACAATTGTCGTATACGAAAGACCACGACCGGTGATAACTTAACTGGCGCTCGAGGTAGAAGTGAAGGCTGCGCCCCTACTCACATTGGAACTCCCGAATGTTTGGCCAGTCGAGGAGCCTCCTACGCCAGGCCTATAAACACTGCATACATTCACACTGTACTATAAGTTGTCTTGTTTTGAGATGAAAGAAAATAAGTCATTGTAAAATAAGTATACCGGTTAACTTACAGAAAACAATAAGTTGCTATTCAGTACAATTGTAAGACAAGTTATAGCGGTTGACTTACAGGTAGCAATGTTGAAATAATGTGCGATGTCCAGTAAAATTGTAAGATAAGTTAAACCGGTTGACTTCCATGTAGCAATGATGTACTGTTTAAGCTGGACTAATGTGCGATGTCTAATGGATCGTGAAAGAAATATAAGTCACCAGTGTATTGCTAGTAACCTCATCATTGATCGTGAAAGAAATATAAGTCACCAGTGTATTGCTAGTAACCTCATCATGGATCGTGAAAGAATATAAGTCACCAGTGTATTGCTAGTAACCTCATCATGGATCGTGAAAGAAGTATAAGTCACCAGTGTATTGCTAGTAACCTCATCATGGATCGTGAAAGAAGTATAAGTCACCAGTGTATTGCTAGTAACCTCATCAATGATTATTACAAGTGAATATCTAACACTAAAACAGACTTTTACATTTCACTTACTGTAACCTCTATTAAGATTGGTTGGTTATTTTTTAGAGCAAAGCCACATTGAGGTATTTGCTGTGTCTACCGCCGAGAACTGAACATCGGATTTTAGTGTTGTAGGTCTGTAGATTTACAGCTGTCCCACCGGAGGACTCTCAGTTAAGGTTT